CATTACCACATATGCATTTCCTTCTTTGAGGCTTCAAAGTTCATGAAAGCCTAGGACTCCAAGTTCGTCTAAATGTTGTTTAAGCAATCAATTTGTGGCTCTAGCTTTTGCTATGAGTGAATGTTTGTTCTGTCATCTTGCATATCACAGCACTCTATGACATCTCATGTGAAAATTTTTAACAGGTTTTAAGCTGCCTTTAGCTATAGCAATGTCCATCTTGGCCGTGATGTTAGCAAGGACTAGTTCTTAACAAGATTCATTCTTGCAGTTGACTCCTTATTTCTTTTCTGTTGATGACATTAAATATTGGCAGACTCTCATTCATTGCTAGTAGTGGGGCTCAACCAACATTGCTAGCCTTGAAAGCCAATACTACCCGTTATTTTGTTGTAGTTGCAGCATTCAAAGCAAGAGGTTCTTAATCACTAGTAGTGGTTAAATGTCATCTTTTATGCAGCTATCACAATTTGGCAATTAGCAAAGAAGCGGTCGAGCTGTTTTTCTTTTGAGCTCCTCTCTTTGGAATGTGGCTAGTATCTTGGTTGTGCTCTGCTTCTCAAATTTCTAATTGGAGACAGGCTTTTAGCCACCATCAAACCAAATCATATCAACCAGAGCGTGATCAGTGGCTGGTAGGGGATATGTGCTTTTCAGTTTCTGTCAAAAAAAAAAAAAACATTATCCTCTCTGTTCTTGGAGACAAAAGTGGATTTGAACAGTAGAGGGGTACATAGGGAAGCAGTAAGGATGAGTGAATGCAATCGTCCGAATTGGCCAAAACAAGTAAAGATATTAAACATGAAAACATGTGGGTTTCCCAGAAAAAGAATGTAACTGGTTTTGTTTTCCCTCAGCTCTGGGTGAAATGTCTGTTAAAGGGTGGTTGCGCATGATTTGATGACGATGATGGTTCCAGCAAAACTGGCCTACCTACAGCACAACCGAATTATTGAGGCTAGTTGGTGGGGTAGCAACCTTTTGGAGGCATATCACTGATTTCCCCTAATGACAATGACTAGTAGGAAGGAGCAATGGGCATCCTCGCATGCCCGGTGAAATTATTGGAGCCATGTGATTTGCAGATGGTTGGCAGGATTACTTGTTCAATAACTATAAAATACATAGATTTTAGTAACTAATTTTTGCAGAAATGATTGATGGTCCATTTCACCCAATTTGACCAACTTACGTTCTTCTTTTCATCCGTACACTTATCCATCAATCATAATAACTTTTACCCCTTTCATAGAAAACCTCACAGCAGATTAAAAACTAAAGACTTCCAAATACACTGCTTCATAGATTGTAGAATAAGATATTTAAAATTTGCATTATGTACTCATGATGTCATTAGTTTCATCTCATTTTTGGATGGAATTAATTACACTAAAATTTCACCTAACAAATCTTGTCAATTGCAATCCACTGTCTATACAGGGTATCAATAACGTAGTCTGTCCAAAACTAAATTTTGTAATAATTTGTTTATAATAACCCACTCCATCTTATGCGACTTATAAAAAACAAATTTCATAAAAATATTCTCATCCGTCCACGTATTTGATAACCAAGTCGACACATGGCATTGTTTGAGAGCTCCTTTGAGGTTTGTTTTTATATTAAGTTATAGATATTTGATATCGAATTATAATCAAATGTTTAATTTAATATTTAAAATTTAAAAATATGTAATATGGTACTCAAAATTTACTTTTATTTATTTTAGAGTAAAATAACTAGACCTCTTTAAGTTTTAACTAAATTTCACATAAATTTATTAATTTTTAAAATGAACAATAAAACTTAAAAGTGTAAACACTATTAATAAAAAATATGAACAAACTAAAATGCCTTTTATTCTTTCTCTCTTATTTTTTTTCTCTCAGATAATACGTTCAATTGACATTTCTCATTCGTCGAATGACCACCCTATGATAAGTGCTTCCTATGGGAGGAGAGCGTTGATCTAGTGCTCCCTTCCCATGGGAAAGCATCGATCTCGGTGCTCCTCTTGCTTAAGAAGCATAAAATCTGCGCTCCTCTCCCTTCCCTGGGTGCTCTCTTCCCCTGGGAAAGCATGATCTCAGTGCTCCCCTCCTTTGAGGAGCATTAAATCGGTGCTCCATTCCCTCTAAATAAAAATATATTATTTATATAATAATAATTTTTAAAATTAATTAAAAATAAAATTATTTTTTAAATATTATTATATTATCAAATTAACAAAAATAATTGATTAATGACTGAGTCAAACGAAAGATATTTTTTTAAAGTAAATTATTTATTTAATTAATAAATTTGAGTAAAATTATAATTAAAATTTAAAGAAATTTAAACATTTTTTCTTTTATTGTATAATATATTTTATTAATTAAATTAAAAAATATAACATACTTTCATATCTAATCTTAGTAGGTAACGTAATAAGATCACACATAATTTATGCTAACGAAATAAAAAAATATGCAATTTAAAAAATGAAAAGTAAAATTTGAATACCATATTACATAATTTTAAATTTCAACACGAATACATAATTAATAAATACTCTTTTCGAATTTGGATCCCGTATAAGCAAAATGCAGTCTCTTCTCCGTCTCCGTGGTCCAAAGACTTGTTTGGAACGTCTCAATGGCAATTTCCTCGATAAGAGGTTGCCTACGCGTGTGCCTTAGTCAAGCCATGAAGTATCTAATTTAATGCAAGGGCTCCAGAGGGTCAATGTACTTTTTCTTTCCTTACCGACAAATCTCCTAGATTTTTCCAGCTCCAAGCCTAGCTTTGTAGCCAAGGTTTTGACGTCTAAAGTACGAGAAGAGGAGCAATCCCCCCTTTAACTTTTTGTTTTAGTTTGCTTCCCATGAAAGAAAAGGGGACATTCCTTAAAGCATATGCTTTTTGCGCTTTTGAAATTGTGGTACTGGAACTAAATCAATGATAAAATCAAGCTCTTAGCTACTGATAATTAAATTAACAAGTTTCATTAATGCTAATAAATGAGTGATTTTATTTTAAAGTGCAAGCAAAGTTAGACAACTCTGTTTGGATGTAGAGTTTTAACCCATCACTTGCATCATCTTTGGACTTTACCCATGCTTAATACTTTACATTAAATGCATAATGGTTGTGAATTCAAATGAATTAATATGGTTCAATACCAATCAAAAAGCTCTGGCACAATCTATAAGTTTTGATATATAATAAATGACTTATTTATCTCAAATTTTACGTATCAATAAAAATTAATTAATTTTTAAAATTAGTTCAATTAATCTTAAAATATTATCACCCGAGTTGTAAACTTAATTTTTTTGTTTATTGAAAATTGAGAAATGAAGTCATTGTTGGTGGGCCCTTCCATGGGTCGGGTGGCTTGCAAGGTCCAAGGGCCGGGCTCAACTTTGATCTTGCTATAAGCGTGATATCTGAGCTTGGATTCGACTCATCTCGGCTGGAGGTATTATTATATTAATAAAAAATTACTTAATTATACTTAAAAAAATATTAATATAAAAGAATTTGCCCAGTGAGTGAAAGGCTAGAAGGAGAAGGCCCGTGGCCATGTCAATAGACCTTTTAGCAGAAGCGTCTGCCGCATGAAACATGCCATGAATCCCTGGATAAAAGAGGAGAATCAAATTCCTTTTACTGTTTGCTTTTCTAATTTGGCAAATAAATTTTACCAACACACTTCCCAGCCTTTTTGGATGCAGTAGCTTGGACCTTTCTTCGTTACAAAAAAGGATCTCAGCCGTCCACTCTCCACCAAATCAAGATTGGTGGGCCCCCGCACATGAGCCTCAGAATCTAACGGTTTAGAAAACGACACATCTCAACCATCAAAAAAACCTACACTTTTCCTTTCGCCATCTCCCACTTTGGAAAAACCAGAAAAGAAACGGACACCCACGAAGTGAAGAAAGAAAGCCCAATGTTCACTGCTCTTTGCTTCTTTCCTCATTTCAGAAAAGAAAGTAAAATAAAAAAAATTGAATAATTCCTTATTCACTCTGCACTCTCCTGACTCTTCTATCATTCATTCCTTTTTTTTGGATAAAAACATAATATATAGAAAAAAAATTGTATAATCTAAATTCATTTAATGATTTTTTTTATGGAAATAAAATATGTAGAAAAGCCAAGCACGGACAAGATCTGAATTCCAAGGAGAGCTCAAAACAGACAAGCAAACCAGAGTTCCCAACACTCTCATCAGAGAATAAACATAAGAAAACAAGGTGATTCTCATCCTCATCAACCTCCATGCTCCCGCACTCTCATTCAACTAATCTCAGCCGTTGATCTCCCCCTCTCCTGATCCATGACCCTTATGTCCTTCATATCTAGGGTTTCCATTTCCAACACGATCATCGTCTCCCGCCGCCACGATGTCTTCCAAGATCAGCGGCCAGGTTTCGCCTCAGCCCTGTCCCCACATCCTCGACTTCCGCTCCCGTAACGGCTCCAAGCCGTTTCGCGCCCTCCAAGACTGCATCCGAGTGAAGGCGCCCGGTGGCCGCGCCGCCATTCGGAGGGAACCCTCCGAGGTCCCCCGGTGCGGCACGTGCGAGGAATCCTCCCGTCCCAGGCTCTATGCGTGCGTCGCCTGTGCCGCTGTTTTCTGCCACGCGCCTCCACTTCACTCCCACGCGTCGTCTCACGCTCTTTCCATCCCCGGCCACGAGATCGCAGTTGACGTGGACCGCGCTGAGCTCTTCTGCTGCGCGTGTCGTGACCAGGTGTACGATCGCGACTTCGACGCCGCCGTAGTCCTCGCTCAAACCATCACCGCCACCGCCACCACCTCCACCTCCGGATCCACCGGAATGCAATGCAACATCGCTGGATCTCAACCGGAAAACCTACGAAAGCGCCGTCGAGTAGATTACCGCCCGTGGGCCCCAGATTCAAGAGAACACGCCATCATCGGAAACCATTCGATGCCTCTCAACGACACGACCAATGCCTCATCGATTTCGTCAACAGAATTACCTTGGGGATTACGCGGATTGAATAATTTGGGGAATACTTGCTTTATGAATTCAGTTTTACAAGCATTGCTCCATACGCCGCCTTTGCGAAACTACTTCTTAAGCGATCGGCATAACAGATATTATTGTCAGCAAAAGAATGGTGCTCTTAATGGTACTAAAAATTCAAGATTGTGTTTGGCTTGTGATATGGACGCGATGTTTTCGGCTGTGTTTTCGGGGGATCGGACTCCTTATAGTCCAGCTAAGTTCTTGTACAGGTTAGTTTTTGGTCAAAACGTGAATTTTTTAATTTTGACAGAGAATATGAAGAGTAAGAAAAAGTTTAATCTTTTATCTTTTTTTTTTGGGTTATTTTTTTACTCTATTGATATATGTTGTTAGTATTTGGTTTTGGGTAAAAAAAAAATTGTGGGATTAATGTGATTTGAGGTTTTTGCAGTTGGTGGCAACATGCGGCAAATTTGGCTAGTTATGAGCAGCAGGATGCCCATGAATTTTTCATTTCCATGCTTGATGGAATTCATGAAAAGGTGGAGAAGGATAAAAGGAAGTCCCAGAGTCCAGGTGACTAGCTTTCTTGTTGTTTCGAGGTTGTCTTAGTAACTTTTAAGTTGGATTTCTAGGATGTGTGTTGTCCCTGGCTGAAATTGCATAGTGAGCATGTATGTTTATACTGGGAGTTTATGTTGGTGGATTGTTTTATTTATATGGTAACTGGTAGATTAAGAATCTCCCAAATCTAAGGGGTTTGATTCTGGGCCCACGTCTTCTGAAATACATCATGACATGTAACTATTTGCTACATTTGTTCTGCTAGTGGTAATATAAGTGTTGGTTACATTTTTGTCAGTTTCTTCAAAAGGTTCTTGTTGTGGGAGGATATTTTATGTTTATGGTTGATCAAATGATGTGAATTCTTTTGTAGTGTAGAACAACAAAGTCACTACGGTATTTATCTTAATTCTGAATTTGATCATGCATTAACGGTATCACTGCTGGCATGCACTAGGAATCCATGTTGTCTGTAATTCCTAATTATATGGTAAAACTTTGCTGAGTTGTTGATTTTAGGTTGACGTTCTGGAAAAGAAAAGTTTGTATGCATCAGTCGGCTTGGAACATTGTACAGCACGGAGATTAATTAGGATTTATAAATTTGGTTAGGAACCTTAAGTCTGCATAGGATGGGATTGTCTGCTGTTTAAGTGTTTAAGTGGCCAAATTATAGTTACCAAAAGGCAGACATGAATCTAGATTAGAAGCAGTCTGTTTAACTAATTAGAATAAATCATTGGGGAAGGAGATAGTGAAATGCACAAATCACCTGGCCTAAAACTTGCTGCTATACTAATGCAGCTGTATTAACCAACTAAGATTCTCTTATGAGCAGCTACTATCCGTCTGTCCCTCGCTTTACTGTTTTTAGTATTTATTTTTTGAATCAACATCATCGAAGATTTTGCTAAAGATTAAGAAGTAACCCTAATATTTAACTGCAGGGCGTGAGTTTAGGTCTCTTCTATCTTGCCCTAGGAGTTGACAAGTGCTCTCAGATTTAGGACTGCAGGCTTGATGATGTCAAGTGCTTTACTTCAGTAAGTCAACCTTCCTTAGCCTCTTGGTTTCATCATAGGAATTTCTCGCCTCACTTAATTCTCATGTTACTTCCCCTTTGCCATGTATAGGATTCTATCCTCTGACAAAGTTGATCCTGATCTCAAATAAAGGAGAGAGTTGATTTAGTTTTACAACCTGCATCAAAGCCATTTCTGTCTTTTGGGTCAGCTTGTTTCTACATAAACTTTCTTCAAATGCCTTGGTTGGGTGAAGAGATCCAGATTCTTTTGAACTTGATGAAGTTTGGCCTAGTTATCTGCAAGGTTGTCCCAACTTAAACCATCTTTGTTATGATATGCAGCGTCTTGTTTTCTTGCGTGTTGAAATTTGATCTTTGGATTGGAAATCCAAGTTAAATGTGGGAAACAGAAGGAACAAATGCTAAGCTTAAGTTGTTGTTGAGCTTTAGTTGGAATGCAGTGGTTTTTGCATTGACTGTGTATATTCCCATTTTTTCTGGTCAAGTTGAATGCAGAACTAGCATCCTCTGTTCTGGTTCTGGTAAAGTAACGTGGAAAGGGATTTTGATTCATTGCTATCTCTTAACTGTAGTTGAAAGTTAACATCTGAGACTCTAGTTGCTTTCCATTCAAAGTTAGCCTTATGCCATGTTTGTAGAACCATCTTACTGTTTTCTTTTTCTGTCATTCTCACTAAGATATAATCAGCTTCAGTTATTCAAATGTGAATGCATGCCGGCATAACTAGATTGCTTGTCAGTAAACTGTTTGAATGAATCTTCATAAAGGAATGAGAATGTTAAGTGATAACATATCTCCGATATCGGATATTTTCATTACCCCCATTTCTTGCTGGTGCAGGCAGTGGAGATTGTTGCATTGCACACAGAGTATTTTCTGGTATTCTGCGATCTGATGTCATGTGTATGGCTTGTGGTTTCACATCCACAACATATGATCCATGTGTAGACATCTCCCTGGACTTGGAACCAAACCAAGGAGGTTCTGGGAAGTCTTCATCCACAAAATCCCACAATTCTTGCAATGTTGAGGCAGATTTCGTTGGCTCCAGCCAAAACTGTGGAATATCTACCTTAAAGGGTTGCTTAGAACGATTTACAAGAGCTGAGAAGTTGGGCTCTGACCAGAAATTTTTCTGCCAAAAGTGTCAGGTGAGACAAGAATCTCTTAAGCAGATGTCCATAAGAAAGCTTCCATTGGTATCGTGCTTTCATATTAAAAGATTTGAACATTCTTCAATACGAAAGATGCCGAGGAAGGTTGACCGGTATCTGCAATTCCCATTTTCATTGGACATGGCTCCATATCTTTCTTCTTCCATCTTGAGGAGTCGATTTGGAAACAGGATCTTCCCTTTTGATGCAGATGAACAAGATGCATCAAATGACTTATCATCAGAATTTGAGTTGTTTGCTGTCGTCACACACTCGGGTAGATTAGATGCTGGCCATTATGTGACTTATTTGCGATTAAGTAATCAATGGTACAAGTGTGATGATGCTTGGATTACTAGAGTTAATGAGAACATTGTGAGGGCGGCACAGGGGTACATGATGTTTTATGTACAGAAGATGCTATACTATAAAGCAAGTGAAAAGCAAGCTGCCTCAGGATATGATGTTCAGAGATGAGAATTTGGTTTTTAATTCAAATCATATAGGGCCGAAGATAGGCTGCATCATTTGAAGGTGGTTAATATGGAATCACTCATCAGATGCCATGCCTAGTTTTGTATTCCATGAAAACAAGTTTAGTCAAGCTGCTCTGCTCATTGGTAAAAGACTGGGCTGCTCTTCAGTCAGATTGGAGTTTTAAGTGAGCCTAAATTTTTGAGGCACTCCAATATTCAGGAAAATCAATTTTATAAGGTATGGGTTCCATAAAATGATTTATGAATTTCTTTTTCCTTTTCATTCAAGTGTCGTCCTTTTGATTTATTATTTTTTTTCCTTTTTAAACCTATCTGAAATCGTCTACTAATTGTTTCACACTTGAGACATCCTTGCCAACGGACTGATTGACAGTTATCCTTTTTCATAAGGCTAGGGTTCATTTTCTGAGTTGGAAGGCACTCGTCCGTCTTTAACATGAGCCTGACTGTTGGTTTAATTTTTGTCTGTGTCATGACAAAGCAGGAAAGAAAATAGTAAAGTTAAATCTAAAACCCTTCTCATTGCAGGATCATCTATGGCATATGGAGAGTTGATAAGTGATAAACCAGGCACTTCAAACATATTGACAATTTAAATACCTAAAAGTACACTGGGTTTTACGAGTGCAGTAAAGGTTGAACTGGTAATTCCTTGTATTCAAGCTCTAGGGTCACTTTGTCTTTGACCATTTTCTTTTTTTAAATGATCAATGAAAGCTAAGCCTAAGGTTGTGATTTACCTGCATGGATGATGGTATCTTCATTCAATTCCTGATCCCTAATTGTATTTGTAACCATCAACCAGGTTAAACGTTTCATATGTTTGTCAAATCAGAGAAGTAGCATATCGAGTTCTAAAAGTGTTACTAATGCTATTGTGTAATCGTATCTGTAAAAGCCATCCTTATCTCTCTCTCTCTGGAAAGGTAAAAATAAAAAACACATCTTACATCTATGGCCATCCCTCGGTAAAAAATTCAGTGGCCATTTGACTACGGAACCAGTACAATAAAAGCTAGAGCTACTAACAGCATGTTTGGTAAAGGGAATAGCTACGTTATTCTCTCTCTGTTCTCATGTTTTTTCTTTACCTCGTCGTAAAGAATAGTTATTATTTAGTATAAGGTAAAATTTAGATTTAATTAAACTGGAGCTCTCATGATATTTGCTATTCTATGATTGAGAAAATAGTTTTAAAATTTGATAGGATTAAAATACTTTTTATAACTTAAAAATGTTACAACCTTAGATATATGCTTAGGGTTAGATTCGCTCACATGGTGTGTCAGATCGACATTTTATTTTATCAATCACATTTCCAGATCGGCCCATGGAGAAAAAGGAAAAAAATAGAATAAAAAAGAAAATTTATTTATAAATTTTAAAATATTAATATTTTATATATAATTTAAACATTATAAATATTAATATGATTAAAATATTAAAATTTTGAATGTTTTATTTATTAAATTATTAATATATTAAATTTTTAATGAGTATAAATAAAAAATAAAAATGAAAATAAAGAAAATATAAAAAATTATGCTAATATTTTAAAAATAAATTATTAAATTTGAAATTTTTAAATTTTTAATAAAAATAAAATTAAATAATTAAAAAAAATTTGCTTATATTTGTCTTTTGGTATAAATTTAACTTAATTATGAAAAGTGCATTTTGTTGCTTTAAAAAATAAATATTATTATAATAAAAATTTTAGTTTTAAATATATATTATAAAGTTAATATTAAAATTTTAAATTAATTTAAATTATTAATATTAAAAAATCTAATAAAAATGATAATATAAAAATAAAGAGTTTTTTTATTTTTTTATTTTCTATTCTTTTCTTATTCAAAAGTTATTGTTACACTAACTAAACATTGCAATAAGTCATAATAATTTTTCTTATCTTATTCTATTTGTCGTTTCAAACTAAGTAATAACTATTCTATTATATTCTTATCTCATTCTATTTCATTTCTATTTATTTTGCCAACCAAACGTACTCTAAAGGGATTAAGTTCAGCCTAAGAATGCTAATGGATACCTAATTATAGGGTATCTACAGATACCCGACTTGATTATATAAAGTTTGTATATCTTATAATCGAATTTGAGACAGGTGTGGGTAAGGTTCGGATACCACCCTTTGGGTACCCATTACTCGAATCCAACTAGTATTTCTAAATATTTTATTATTATTTTGATAATTAAATTATAATTTCACAATTTTTACCAAAATTAGAAGCAATTCTTTTTGTGAAAAACTAATAAATATATGAAAAGTATGGTTACTCTAATTATTAATATGATGACATTAATATATTTAAATTTAAAAAATATTAGATTGTTAATTATGTTTAAATAATATGAATATTATATCATACTATAAAGAAATATAATTACTATTATATATATACTTTTAATATAAGTCTATTTACTTTCTATTTTGTGTTAACATTATAAAACTTATGACTTATAAAATTGTTAATTATAATATATATACCATTGTTTATATAATCTTATAAGCTATATACTTAAAAAATGCTTTTGAGATTAAAATAATTTCGGAACTTAAGTGTTTTTTTTAATTTCATGAAATTAAGAACAAATTTATATAATTAATTAAATTAATTCATGAAGCTATTATTATTAATTAACTTGTAATGTCTTTTAATATATATAGTTTATATATTATTTTAATTTATAAGAAATATAATTACTATTATATATATACACTAAAATATTATATATATATATATATACTTTAAATATAAATATATTTACTTTCTATTTGTATTAACATTACAAAATTATAACTTATAAAATTTTTAATTATAATTTATATAACTTTGTTTATATAAACTTATATCAATCTAAGGAGAAGTTGTGAGATTAGAATAGTTTTAAAACTTAGTTATTTTTTTAATTTTATGTAATTAAGGACAAACCTTGTATAATTAATTAAATTAATTTATAAAATTATAATTATTAATTAACTTATAATGTCTTTTAATATATATATTAGATTCATTTATAAAAAATATAATTACTATTATATATATATTAAAATATTTTTGATATGTGCGTGTATGTGTATATAAATATATATGTATTTTAAATATAAATATATTTACTTTTTATTTTGTGTTAACATTACAAAAATTATAACACATAAAATTATTAATTACAATATATATACTTTTGTTTATATAAACTTATAACATATAAATTTAAAGGGAAGTTATGATATTAGAATAGTTAATCAGGTAATTAGGTATCCATGAAAAAGATTTTAATAATTTTTTTATCTAATCAGTTATTCAAAAGGGTTAAGATAATTATAAGATAGTGAAAATGTATTAGGGTTAAGATAGTAATTTTTAAAATTATTAAGATAGTTAATAAAATTAGGGTATTTGATTTTTAATAAGATTAAGGTTCAGGTATCTCAAAATTAATGAATACTCTACCCGATGACATCCCTAGTTCCACTGATAGATGGGTAAAATGGTGAGAAAGGGGAGAGACAGATTTCGATATGAAAAGGTAAAGAGGTAAAGAAAGAAATCAAAATAGGGAGGGGAAAGGGAAAATGGGTAAGGAAGAAGGTTAAGATTCTGCAAAGATGTGGGAGACAATAAATCTTGTTTATTACTCTATCGTCATATACATGTACAAGGAGATCAAAGAGCCTTGCTTGGAGTTGGATTGGTGAAGATGATCTCTTCCATGCTCCGAAATTTGCTCCTGCTGAAATTACTCTATTTTGATTCCCTTTGATATCACAGTGAAGACAATTTTCAAGTATCCAAGGGCTTCATTTCTTGGCCTTTATTACGAGTTTGCACCCATTTCTGGTAGGCCAGTAGACAGACCAAAAGGGAAGGAACAAGTTGCAATAAAAAAGGCCCATAATATTCACTAAACAACATCCATTTGACTTCATAAACAATATTGGATCTACTGATTTGTATATGATTATCCCAAAACCTAGATCATAAAGTTGTGCAATTTGTCATTGTGTAATAGGTAAACTTTCATTCAGCTTGCCACACATACTATAATATAATAGAATTCCTTTCTGCAGGCCCAGCAAAAGCAGATGATAAAACTACTGCATACGTAGTCTACAGGGGGCCATGCATCATTAAGGTTGGGCCAATTGTATAGTCTTTGGTGGAGAATTACAGCTTTACCATCTCAACTTCTCTGATACCCAGTCTGAAATATTGGCTATAAGAAATCCCAGGAATACCTGAAATACATCACAATATGATCCTTCCTAAGCAAGGGACTTCCATGCAGCAATGTACATAAGCTGGAGGATCAAAACTAATATATAATTGATCAATTTGATTAAGTTTTGGAGTAGTAATTAACTGAATATTTATCTGGTCAGATGCTCATGTGTATCAAAGAAATTGAAGGATGATGGGCTGACAAGTTTTTGAATTTATCAAGATTACTACTTAACCATATACCTGAGCTGATCCAATCATATAGATTATTGAATACTGTTGACCATAAATTAGCATGTCTTCCAACATTGCAACAGGTATGGTAAGTGAAACGCCTAGTGCACCTACCAGAGGAGAGGTCCAGACAACAGCTAATGCCCTGTAAGTGTGATAGATGTTGACTTGAAGGAATTAAAAAACATGCAGATTCATAACTCAGAAAATTTAGTTAGACCGTTGTATTCGCGTACCAGAAATAGTCAGATAGAAAACTCCCAACAAAACTGTTTACAAGGATTATCTCTTGCACTTTAGCTGATTGAGGAAATGTAAACTTTGGTTCGACACCAATGGCAGTCAGAGGCCATGCTGGAAAGAATTCAGAAACATCAAGTCATACAAAATGCAGATGTTGTGTCCAATTTTTATCTAACAACGTTAAGAGAGCATTTACTGAAGCTGTTCGAAGAATATTGGCTACTTTCAATATAAAGCAATTCATCGAACTAGTGGCTAATGAAATGCTTAAAAAGTTACCAAAAGAGCTCCATAGCCTGAAGAAGAAAAAAGAGTACAAAAAGATATATACATAGATATTAACTGCTATATGTCCCTTAACAAATTCTAGTTAGTTGCATATTGAGGATCTACTAACAGCTTCTAAGTAAGACTATCGTTCAAAAAACTAGGCTACTTTTGGAGGATCCTTAGTTTCTACTAGTTGCAAACAAAAAGCTTGAACTGCCAACCTGTGATACATCATGCTTTTAAAAAATGAAGCAAAGAAACATTGAATCTACTTCATTTCTTCTTGAACAATGAGAGTATATGAAACACTGTTCATAAATGCCCTAATGCTGAATTTCTCTATGTTTCTTCAGATGCCAATGAATGTAGTACAAGAGAAGTTCTAACATAACCATCCCAAGCAGGCAATATAAGAACCTGTGTCCAAGGTAAAATATGCCTATAATGCCCATCATCTCAGTTACCATTCAAAGAGAGAAATGCATGTTTTTTCCAGCCCAGGATCTCAGTACACTAGCCACCAATTTGCCTTTTTTTTTCAAATCCAAAGAGAAAAATTTCTCGTTCTGAAATCAGTGCAATGAACAATGAATGTCAACAAAGCCACTAATGTATTAGGTTTCCAAATGTCCCATGGACATATGACTCCTTACAACCTTTTTTTTCCATTTTGGAGTGATCCCCTACAACAAGGTCACATATCTTATATGTTACATCAGATCACTCCAATAGTGGTTTACCACTGGCGATTGATTCCATCATTTTGCTTTGCATAGTCTAAACTAGTTCCTAGAATGCCATGCTGACTATATCCAGTTTCAAGCTATCAGGAACAAGATGAAACAGTAATGTCTATTGTTTATTTCACATCTCTTAACAAGCTTATCGGAACAAGGGAGAAGAAACCTAGCAGTCAAGTCATAAATTTATTCCACAGTGTCAATCTGAAAAAACAGAATATAATAACTATGCCAAAAATTTTCATTTGCTTGGATTTTGGTGGTTGTGCTGGTTTGTTCAAGCTAAGCCTGCTGAAAGGCATATGCTCCAGTCCCACTACGAACGTATAAACACATATATGGCAGAGCAGAAAAATTGTGATAAACTAACCAGCAATATGCTCTTACCAAGCCACCAAAGGGCAACAAGTGCAAACAATCCAATATAGCCAAAGCACTTCTGCATGTCTACCCTTTCTCCTTCTTCTCCAGAAAACTTTTTAAGCAAAACTGCAACTTATGATTTTAGTATTCTGCTGGTAATTTATCAAAAAAAAAAAATCTAATATGATTCAAATAAAAGTGAAGGTATAAACCTGTAAACAGTCCATAACACATAGCTGAGAGGATAGCAAAAAGATCTCCTAGAAGAGCTTGATTCCCACGTCTAAATAAAGCAGGAAAACTGTAAGTAGCTTCTAAGAAAACATGCTACACATATATCAAGTAAATAAAACCATGAAAACAATTGCAACCTGCTCCTCCACCCCCACCCCCCACCTCAGAAAAGGGCAAGAGGAAGTTATAGAAGCGTATTAGCCCATTTATAACCTTACCATAGCTAATAGTCCAAGCTAAATGATGGTAGCATGTAACAGTTAAATGAGGTGGAGGAAAACAATACTTGTTAATGCCTGATTTTGATTCATCTGCAGCCCATGTCTTTCCAAGGGTAGTCATAGCAACACCGGCAATGCTAATGACGACTGAAACAACTTTCACTGTACTAATAGACTCTTGACCCAAAATTGCCCCAATTAATAAAGTGAAAAGTCCAGAAGTTGAGGACAACAATGTTGTACTAGCAACACTTGTTCTTGCGAGTGCAGCATTCGTAAGATACTGGAGACAATGAATAATATTAGAAAGAACTTCAATAATGTATTTCTACCAAATATGTAAGTCCCAGATTTTCCTGAAGTGGATCAACTGTATTTCAGTGGGATTATATTTCTCATACAGCAAAGGCCTGCTGACTTACATGAAATGAGCACATCTATGCATATGAAAGTTTAAAAGAAATGGGTGGCAGAACCAGGCAAAAGGGGCATGCAGAGATGCATATATAAAAGATGGAAGCATAGTTGGAAATGTGAACAAAGAGATGTTGGAATCTGGAAGAGAAAATATACGGCAATCCTTACTAATTAAAGTTTTGGCTTCAACAGATTTGATGCTCAATGCTTAAAAACAAATGCTTGACTTGAAAACCAGCCAAAGAAATATTAGATAAACAACTTTTTAATTCACACCTCTGTTGCAAACCAGATAGGAGCCATGCAAAAGCCAAATGCAGCAATCTCCTTTGTGCTAAGCATTCGGTCTCGCTTTGGTGCTTCCACAATAACTTTGTGTCTAGAAACCCGGGGATTTTCCTCCTCCTTGATACAAAGGTCTATGACACACTCCTTAGGCACTGGTGCTTGATGTTCAATTTGAAAATTACCATGCTTGTCATCATGTTTTACAGAAGAATTCAGTTCTACAGAGGACCTGTCAACCCCTTTTGGGCCTTTGGTACTATTACAAGAGCAACCTCTCAGATGCTTGACTAACCAGTCCTTAAAGAACGCTATTGGCAGATAAAGTGCCAGAAGAGAGGTTCCAAGATATGTCACTGCAAATGGATGCCTATAGTCTTCAAACACACCCTGTCGGAACATAACAGTGATGTCAAAACTCCATAGTAAAAATGAGAATGTAACGGCATTAGAACAGAGCCCTAGCGGTCAAGTTCCAACAAAAAAAAAATTGATGGCCTATATAATTTTAGTAAGAAGAAAATGATCTTCACCTTGCACCACTGAACTGGCATAGAATAACATCTTAGCATAAGAACGTCTAATAACTTAATAAAAATTAAAAGTGAATGCAAATTATTGGTAATGATATTTATATCAGAAGACAAAAGCTAAGCATAGGAAAATATGACAAATGTGCTTGAATGAGAAGACCAAACCATTCAGAAAGAAACAAAATGAAAAATAAAAACCAGATTAGAAGGTAAAAATGCAAGTGGGTGAAAACCTGATGCCCAGAACGAAGATCCCAGGAGCAACCAGGAGACCTCCCAATTCCATTAGCAAACAAAGCAGATGAAATGAAATCATCAGTTTCAACAATGGGGAAGTTAAACATATGATCAGAAAAGAAAAAAACTGAATCCAAAAATATGGTAGAAATCCATAGTGACAAACTGTCAAACACAGTAGAAGATATGCATTACATAATCAAGAAAATTCTTGTTTATCATCAAAGTAAGCATTAAAAATTTTGTGACTTTAGAACCAGTGTAAACAACATGAACACATCTTTATAGGCAAAGGTCTTCACTGTTTTCACATTAATTTCAATGATGGTTGGTGTGTACGCTAAAGACAATTACGCTAAGCTAGAAATAAGAACGACTGCATACAACAACATGATGATATTGATCCATAGATTCTACAGATTAATCAGTAAACCGCAACTTCCTAGCATACAAGCAACAGAGATAGGTTCAAGATAACATTAAGGAATTCCAACCTAGCTAGGAATAATTTTGAAACTCTTTGTGTCAAAAACCAAAACCATTGTTCTTAATTTCAGCCTGGTGATGGCTAAGAAATTGGCATGACGGGTGGATAACACCTACCCCACAAAAGTTCTCATTATGATAAATTATCAATGATCATCTCTTAGATCTTTGCAACAAAAGATAACCGTGAAACTACAAACTGCCAGTGTCGAAAACCAGGTCCCAAAAAGATTGGAAGATTCATCAACCACTCGACGTCCAAACTCCCAAAAACAAAGACAGCATATAAAAACGTGAAAAGTCCAAGAAATTCTGTCGACAACACGACATAAAACTATTGCAAAAGTAAAAAGAGAAGAAAACAAAGAAGCATGTGAGAAGGAAGAGAAGAATCTGATCAGAACTAACCTGAGTGACCTCTGCGGAGGTAACCCACATGATTACAACACCAATAATTAAAAGCAAACCTCCCCTATATTTCCAACCCATCGTTTCTTTCTTCTCCCTTCACTCTTCTGTCTACGCAAAACTCTTTGGGAAAAAAAAAAAAACCTCTTGTTTAATTTTCTTCCCTAGATTAACGTCCAAGCTAGCCTAGGCAAATGCGGCTGACGAAACGTAATTATATATAGGAAAACCAAAGGGAAGCGATGAGTAGTGGCACCGATTCTTTCTGCAACTGGTCGCTTCAGTTGCACCAACAACAAAGATCGTGGCATTATATTCAATTTTCATTTTAATTTTAATAATGACGGACTAATATCAAAAATATGGTAAAATGGGTATTTTACGATTTGGATAGTGGCTATCAGTACTATGATTTTTCAATGGAAGAGCCACTTTTGTATTTCAGTGGCGGGACTAATTGCACCCACTTCAATCTTTGAAAAGGAAAGTTTTAGGTCTTTAATAATTATACTTTAGCACTAAAACCCCAAGGTTTTTAAGCTAAACTTTTAATTGCATATCATTGGAAACTCTATTCCTAGCTTGAATCGACCCCACTTAGGTTCCACTTATAATTATAATTAATAATTATATAATATATTTGTGTATTGATGTGTTGAGTTGGTTCTTAGAGAAAAATTGGTACGTAATTCATGTGGAATCAACTTAGCTAATGAGGCAATGGTAATAAGTTAAACAGTAAATATTTAAGAGTTAAGTTGCCATCTTCTCTAATTTGTCCAATATTGAAAGAGAACAAATGGATTGCTCCACCTTATTTATGGGGTGCTTGGAATTCTATTATATTCAGTAGAATAGCAAGTCATTTTGACCTTTTCATTTGTATATATTAATTACTAATTAGACAAAAGGGAAAAAGAGAGTGAAAAAAAAAAAAGGAAATCTTTACATTCTTATTGAGCTTACCTAAAAATATAAGTTACACCTACATATCTTTACATTAAGGAAAAATATAAATGAAGAAATACATTGAGGAAGTAGAAATTCATGTTACACAATATGAATGCTTCGTCTTATATTAATTGTTAATACATCCATTGTTCAATGAAGAAGGATTGCCAAAGAGTGTGAAAGGCCCTGGTTTTATATTGCGATGGAATTGATATTTTAATTGTTTTGAGCATTTATTTTAGGTTTTGGAAATTATGTAGGAACATCCAAGATCCAACCAAAGCCCTCCATGTCATCCACTACCTTTTGTCATGTTGGGTCCAGGACAAGAGAAAAAGCAAAGATATCAACTGTGTCATGTTGAGAGCAAGTATCAAACTCATGTTTCGTGGATCTCTGTCAAGTAGACATCAACATCATTTATTTTTTTGCGTGTTGAAATTCGATTATGCTTTCTTGCCTTTAATATTTCAGCTCTCATTAATGGAGAATGTTAGAATAAAATGGAAATATTCCAACCACCAGCTCCTTCGCCATTATGTATATAAATAATAATTTCTATATAAAAGCATGACCATGTTCGAGTGGTTGCTTTTTCTTTAAGTTTTTCCTATTTAGGACAGATTCTGGAGAGAGAATGTATAGATAAGATTACATTAAAATTAATACTATCAATAATTCGTGATTATTGATTAATCTTAGCCAGAAATTGCTAGAAGTCAGCATGAGTGAGAAACTGAGTTAAAGAGACGGGGACGTAAACTTAGAAAACGCTGGTGTGCGAGGCTGTTCCACTTTCAGAAGGAGATAAAAGTTTGGTTTCGAAAACAAATACCTTAAAGGGTTTATAGGTACTGCTGTCGTGTTTCGCTCAACTAGTACAATTGAAAAAAGTCAAGAATTCATGTGAACATCTGTCGAGGGCAATAGCTAGGTCTAGCTATCTACACAGAATCAGCTGTCCTGTCTCTGGCCATGTAACAGTGGTCGATTAATTGGTTGTGTTCCTGGCTTTCCTTTGAGGCTTGTTGCTTCTGCTGGGCTTGCTAGTTTTAGAGTTTCCTGTCATGGGTTTGGTTCTTTTGGCCTGTTCGGCTTTTATTTGAATTTGAAAGAGGCTGCTTCGTATTTGAACGAAAATACTATATTTTGTCTCATAACAAGTAGCATTGGCCCGGCGCCAGACAGGACTCTGAAGGTTTGCTCTTCATAAGAAGTAATACACTACTGTTGCTTTGTCTAGATTTAAACTTTTGAGAACGTCAGGCTAGTTTTTAATGCATGCTCTGCATTTTTTGGGAAAATTTAACAATTTAGCAACAGCTAGCTGTCGACAGGGAAAAGAAAATGGGAGGACTAAAGATTGGTTTATGGCCAACTTCTGACAATTGAAATCTTGAAATGAGTAGCACAATGGGCATCAGATTACCTCAATTTCTAGCACTTGAAAAATTTTTAACTATGCAGGTGAGTATCGGGATATATATACATAGGCAAGCAAATGATCTCATCATTCTCCTCTGATACAGTTTCCTCAGTGATGTTTATGCCTTATGCTTCACATCACCTTCTTGTGGGTGTTGAGATCATTGGGAGTTGATTTATGAGTCCTCTTCCACATATGGACCCAAACCAGTTTGTTGGAGTCCCAAGAACATTCAATAATTGAAGAAAATAGAAGCTAAACTAATTTGGAAAATCACAGGAAGTGGTAAAGAGAGAAACCAGAGAAGAAGGAATACAAGGACATTTAAATCAGTAGAATGAAAAAAAAAAATTGGTAAAATAGCATCAATTAAATTTTCATTTGAGTATTGAAAAGCTCACAAAACCAACGTTTCCTAATAGAACGAATCAACAGAAAAACTTTCACACATCTCAATGCACAGCTTAATAGAAAATTAAACCAGAACCACCATCGCTGTTAAGCCTTGTAACAGAAACTTAAAAGAAGACCAAAACGGCACCATAATGGTGCGTACAAGTACAACGAGCAGAAAATAAATGAAACGACATGACAACAATCGTTTTGACTCAACAAACTTAAAAATAAAACGACATTGTAGACTAACGGCTTAAACAACCAGATCCTTTAGCTAAGAAACGCCATCGTTTTTGCACAACGACCTTTTCTTCAACCTTCCAACCTGTTGCTTCCCGCCAGATCTTCAAACACTTGGATTTCCAGATTAAGAGTTACCTTCCAACACAACCCCATAATTCTCAATTTGGTGAACTCCCAGACATGATCTCAAATACTCAAATCTTTCATTTCTCAAGCTCTTAGTGCATATATCAGCAAGTTGATCATTGGTTGAGCAGTGAACCAATTCAATCTCATCTTCCTTTACAGTATCTCTCAAAGCATGGTACTTGACTCTGATATGTTTTGTTCTACCATGTTGAACAGGGTTCTTAGCAATTGCAATTGCTGACAGTTGTTAACATTAATCAAACTTCCCTTTGCCTGCTTAAATCCCAACTCAACTAGTAGCTTTCTCAACCACAAAGCATGATTAGCAGCAGCTGCACAAACGATGTATTCTGCCTTAGCTGTTGACTGAGCAACTACTTGCTGCTTCTTTGCATTCCAGGAAAATATTGCACTGCCAAATGAGAAGCAAAACCCTCTTGTGTTTTTAGAATCATCCAAAGAACCAACCCAATCACTGTCTGAAAAACCTACCAACTAATTGCTCTCCTGCTTCATGTAAACTAATCCATAATCCACAGTTCCTTTCATATACCTCAAGATCCTTTTAGCTGCTACAAAGTGTATCTCTGAAGGAACTTGCATGAATCTTGACAGCAAACAGGTTGCAAACATTATATCAGGTCTTGCAGCAACTAAATATAACAAGGAACCAAAAATACTTCTATATATTTGTCCATTAGCCTTGTCAACACCATCATCTCTGCTAAATTTTGCGCCAGTGCACAGTGGGTACTTACTGCCTTGCACACGCTCATATTGAACCTCCTTAGCAGATCTTTTGCATATTTACCCTGATGCAGAATGACCTTATCAGTAGCTTGCACTACCTCCATACCAAGAAAATAAATTATCACCCCCAAATCAATCATTTCAAACTCTTTCTCATCTGAAATTTAAACTCAATTAAACACTTACCTTCAGGTCCAGTAATCAAGAGATCATCCACATATAATGTTGCAATAAGCATCACAACACCATTTTCACGCTTCACATATAGAGTGGATTCATTTAAACTCTTCTGGAACCCTTAGTTCTTGAAGCGGTCATCAATTTTGATATACGAGGCTCTTGGAACCTATTTTAGGCCATTCAATGCCTTGATAAGGTTGCACACTTTTTTCTTTGAACCCTGCTGCACATAACCTTCAGGTTGCTGAATGTATATGTTTTCAGTTAAAATATTATTCAGAAAAGCTGATTTGTCATTAAAATGATAAATTTCCCATCCGTCCCTTGATGACAAAGCAGTAAGCATTCGAATGCAAGTGGGACCTTGGAAGTAATAATGCAGCCTAAAATTTCTTGACCAACCAGGAGGAATTCCATTAATTGTTATCATAAATTCTGGGGTAATTCCCACTTTGATAGAACTGATGATCATGTATGGCATTGGCCCATGATCTTCTGATTTTCCCTTTTTCAGTGATCCCTTTCGGCTTTCTTCACCTGAAGGATCCAGGTCCATACTAAAACAAATCTGTCTGTCCCAAATAAACCAATAAGTACTCTTCGACGTTTATGCCAGAACCAAATTCTTCAACCCCGGACAATAACAAAGTGAAGGTTTCAGATCCTAGGGGAAAAACCATAACACAACAAAAATTCTCTGCAACTAGGGAAAGCCAACAAATCAATCCCTTGTCGTAAGAGAAAGAATACTTACAAATTGTGGGAAAGCCAACAGATGAAAGCCTCGCCGTAAGAGAAAGAAGACTTATAAATTGTGCAAGTTAATATAAAGACAAGAGGAATGGTCGCATACAGACAGACGGGAAGAGATCCAATTTGAGTAGTTTCGATCCAGTAGTTAGAACTTGAAAGTTGAAAGGAGAAAAGGAATATTATTACTGTAATTAAAAATATTTTTATTGGATTCCTTTTTTCCATGAAATTATATCAGCAAGTCAGACATAAATACATCAAAAGTT